CGATCCCCACCACGACATCAGTGGACTCGGCTGGTATCATGCGGCTCTTCCTGGACCATGTCTGGAAACACCACGGGCTCCCGGAAGAGATCCTCAGCGATAGAGGGAGTGCCTTCGTCTCCTGCTTCTCGAGAGAGCTTGCGGACCTCCTAGGAGTGAAGCTGACCCCCTCGACACCCTACCACCCCCAGACGGATGGACAGACAGAGCGAGTTAACCAGGAGATCGAGGCCTACCTCCGGGTATTCGTCAACCACCACCAGGATGACTGGGCGGACTGGCTACCCTTGGCAGAGTTTGCCCACAACAACCGCGTCCACTCCTCCACCTGCCGGACCCCCTTCGAACTCGATACCAGGCAGCACCCCAGGATGGGGACGGAACCCACACACACGTCTGAAGTGGAAGCTGCAGATGCCTTCTCGTCTAGGATGATGAAAATGCAGGAAGAGGCGAAAGCAGCGCTGGAACATGCAGCGGACGAGATAGCCCGCTATTACGACCGAGACCGTGAGGCAGCCCCAAAGTACCAAGAGGGCGACCAGGTCTGGCTTAGCGCCCAGAACTACATGATGGACCGGCCGACCAAGAAGTTGGACCACAAATGGCTAGGCCCCTTCAAGATTATTAAAGTCATCTCCCCAGCCGCTGTCAAACTCCAACTCACCACATGACAAAAGGGAGTCCACCCAGTCGTGTCCGTGACGAACATCAGACCGCACCGCCCAGACGAGATTGCAGAACGACCTCCCGACCCCCGCCCAGGTCCAGAACTCGTAGATGGAAAGGAGGAATATGAGGTGGAGAAAATATTGGACTCCAAGTGGCTACGCTGGAGACTTTGGTATTTGGTAAAATTCACCAGCTGGCCGGACTCAGAAAATGAATGGCTTCCCCGCGACCAACTAACCCATGCCCCCGACCAAATTAAGGAGTTCCACCAGACACACCCCCATGCCCCAGGGAGGGAAAGGGAAAACCCTCTGGCCGCTTCGAGGCGAAGCGGCTTAAGGGGGGGATGATGTCAGGGCACACCCACCTCACCCGGCTCCACCCGGCTCCACCCCACCCGCTACCCCCTTCTTCCCCTTCTGTCTCCTCCTCCCTCCACTTCCCCCTCTTCTTATTTCTCCTCTGTCTCATTCTCTATTCTTCCTATTTCTATTTACACGGACGACTTTCCTTGATCGATGTACTACTAACCCGCCTGCAACCCATGCACGACGCACCCAGCCCCGGACGCTCCGGACCACCCCCAGGTACACCCAGCACGCACGCCTGCAGCGGATCCCTTCGGGATCCCCCATGGGAATACCCGGGTGGCTGGGGCTGTGCATGGGGACGACGTGGCAACTCTCATGTGACCTGAGCACCATGTATATAAACATACCTGGGGTGGGAACCAGAGAAGCAGTCTTCTTCTCACCATTCCCACTTCAGGTAAGTAGCTTAGTTTTCCTTCTAATGATAATTAACACCATTCCCACTTCAGGGACATCTGCCTGCGCCGGACCTGTTACCGTACGCACCTGCTTCACACCCCACCGGGCCCTCAGCGCTGGGCAATATACCCGGACGCTCTCGACCCCGGACCGGTCCCTGACAGCAAGCAATGTGAGTTGTAACAGAAGATGTTCGCACATACCTGAGTTGAGTCACGTGCGAACTTGACAATCCAGGGCTAGAGTCATCAACCTCGGTAGGGATGACCCATATAGATGGTGACCAAGACATATACAACCTTACACAGACGTTACAGTGTTGACACAAGGAGGTTTACAGTTGTTGCACAGAAGGTGGGAGTGTGTTATTCATTTAGTTCCGTCTTTCTCGGCTGTAGCTGTACATGAATGTGATGCTAACTATTGAATATGAATGATTGCGAGAAGTCTCGTGAAATGGAATAAATAATCTTGCCAGCACCAAAACCCAATAAGGGAAAGCTTAGCGCGGAGTGAGTGTATAAGAAGGGGGGAATGGGGAGAATGAAAGAAAGAGATGGGAGGATGTGGACAAGGAGGACCTGCTGTGGTTGACGTTCAGTCGACACGGTCGCAAGAGACTCCATTCCTATAACAGGGACCCCCAGGACAACCAGCAATGGCACAGCACTCTGCCTGAGTCGCTGAGGCCAAGGTCCTTCATGCTAAGTCTCCGATTCCATTCCGGAGTCATCCAAATCCACCCAATCTAACAGGCACAGATGTGTTACTAGGTACAGCACTCCTGGGATAAGTCACTGAGGCCGAAGCCCTCCATCATGGGGATGTTGCCTTTCATCCCAGATCTGGTCTCTGACAATTTCTTTCTGTGAAGCAGCCCTGCATAGCTGGGTGTGCCTACCTTATCATCCTCTGAGTAGTGAGTGAGGAAGGTAGTTTTCTTCTTTCCCCCCTTGCTGCTCAGGTGTGTTGTTCATAATATACATAATGCAATACAATTCACTTCCTCCTTGCTGCTCAGCTGGAGTCCTTAACATGGACCACATCCTCAGGGTCTCCCATTGAAGCAGACCCCCATCCTTTGAGTGACAACTCTGTCAACACCTCCGGAATCCTTGATTTGGATTCAGATGTCAGAACTGTGCAAAGCTTTGCCGATGGTAGCTGTCAGCGACTGAATGTTGGCCGCTAACGATACAGGTGTCCTACTCACGACCAAGCTTTAGCGAGGGTCAACCTCACCGATCTCGAGGCCGAGGCTACTTAGGCGAGTGAGCCAGGATTTCGGCTTCAACGACTCAAGGAGGAGCGTTGTGCCTCATTCTCAACGCGGTCCCGATACTTCAGAAGGTCAGAGGTCTTACGGGGAACAGAAGTAAGCTTAGGGGGGAATTTCTAGTTGTCAGGGACTCATCCGGGGTCGAGGGAGCCCAGGTGTAGCGTCTGGGCCTGAGAGCTTGGCAGGGGGCAGATTGGGCATGCGTACTGACAGGCCTGATGTGGGACTGTGGTCCCTGGCCACTTAGACTGAAGTGGAAAGTTGAGAAGAAGGCTACTTCTTCGGTTCCCACTTCAGGTTCGTTTATATACATGTGGCTTAGATCACATGACAGATGCCACGTCACCCTCACACACAGCCGTAACCACCCAGGTGTCTCCGTGGGAGATCCTGAGGGCATCCGGTGCAGGCATGCGTACTGGGCACAGTGGGAAGTCGCCTGAGGTGCCCGGGCCGGGTGTATGGTGGGTGTGCTGCAGGTGGGTCAATGGTACATTGATACAAAGAAGGTCGTCCATGTAGGATAAAGAGAGAATAAAGAAGAAGTAAGATAGGAGGAAAGTGAGGAAGCATGGATGAGGGGAGAGGAGGGAAGGGGGAGGAGGTGAGGAGGGGTGGACATGTCACGGCCGTGCATTCCGGCCCGTTAGCCGCCCATCCCGATGCCACCCGAGCCCATTCCTGCTATGCGAGCGTGAGCGTGAGCCCCAACCTCAGCCCTATCCTCCATGAGGACTCCCTGCTCACTCCCCTGCTTGCCCCTGGGCTCCCCTGCACCTGGCCGACTCCCCCACAGCCACACCAACCTTCCTGCCCTGAGTCCGCCTCCGGCACCGTGCCCAGTGCGACCTCTCTACCCTGCCCACTCGGCCCCTACAGGGCCGCTACCATTCCTGTGCCCGACTCCAGCCCAACTCCGAGTCCGGTGCTGCTACGATACCATCGCCGCTATTGCGGCCCTACACTCCTTCCTTTATTTATCTGTTATTGTTTGTTTTGACCCTCGGTCATTGCCGGCCGCTGTGCGGCCAACCCCGCTCCTTATTCATGTTTGCTTCCGGACCCTTCGGCCTTCGGCCCGGGTCCGCTCCCATTCATTCTTTCCTCCTATATATATCCTGTATACTACATTATAGTACTTTAGCTCTAATATCAATTTGACCACGACCTCCCAAGTCCTGACCCCAGCAAGGCAACCCCAGTGAGTCTGAAATGAGGGCCAAGAGACAGCTAGGGGGCACAGCCCTCCTTTAGAGTCGCTGAGGCCAAATGCCCTACCCTTGGGCCTTGTTCACGGCATCACGGCCATTGCGGCCTATAGCGGCCTGCTAACGGTGACCTTCGGTGCCGACCCCAGACCAGTGTCTAACAGGACAGCAGGGTACCGGGTCAGGTTGGGCCGGGTGGAGCCGGGTCAGGCAGGTGTGCCCTGACACTAGTTGATTTTGAACTGCCATACAAGCATTAGTTACAAGCTGTATATAAGCGCTAGGGAACTGAATAGAGAATAAGTCGCCAGATCTCGCGGAGATTGTGGGTGGAGAAAAGAAGAAGGAAAACAAACAAGAAGCACATGTTTAAGACAGTGAAGGTCAAACGTGACCTTTGCTGCGAGATAACAGGGTGCAGCAAAACATGGGACAAAAGGTCGTGGTGCTCTGTGCCGCTAGGTCGTTCAATGACAATTAGGAGAGGGGTTGTGGAGAAGTGGCAGGAAGTGGTTAGACAGCGACGGGCGGCAAGCAGAGTGTGCAGGGAGTGTTCGGGCATGGGAGAAGGTCGGGGAGGAGGTCGTCTGACTCCGGGGAATGCCGGGTCGTGACATCAGAGCAGCTTGGTGCCCTGACAATGGCTGGTTCCCAGTCTGTCAAAGACAATCAGCTATAATATTCAATGGGGGAGTAGATAGGCTGAAGAGTCATCTACCATGCCACTTTATATATCCACATATGGGTTTACGCTGGAGTCGGCATACACATGCGGCTTGATAAATAATAGACAAGCATGCTTTCGCATGCAATCTCAATAACTCAAAGTAGATGTATATACAAGATAAAATCACAATAAATATTGGGAATCAAGTAGAGAGCGTGTGTGGCCCTTGCAGGCCTTACACCTTCCCTTCTTGATTATTGTTTCATTTGATTGACCATTGTCAATCACTTTTCTGGAGCTGAGTTTGCAGGTAAACCATGTGCTCTCTAAGATCAAAAATTTTAGGAGTTTCACTGCTTGCAAGCTTGATTAGGTGGGGTATACCCATCCTTGGTCCTTGTGTGCAACAAGTTAGCAAGGAATCTTGATAATTAGTATAAAGCTTGGGAATGAACACTAAAGCACATATTGGGGGCTATTCAGGCTCGGCCATGGTAGGCAACATTGTATTGATATTCGTGGTTTGTCTATCCATCGGAGCCCATGCCATCCGTGGAATATGCCTGCAAGACTCCATGATAATCATCCTCATCATCAGCTTTGACACCTTCCTCTTCACTCATTGACACAGGTGGCCCCGTCGCCGGGACCGTTTTGGATTCACAATGAGATAATTTGCGCCCTCTTCGTTCGCGTGGTGATGGCTTCCGGTAAAGAGCGTAGTCTGAACTTTGTCCCTCAGGCCGTGGCGTGATTGGTTGCCTTGGTTCGTCGTCAGATGCATCACTCCACCATTGGGAGTTTGGCTCCTGGAGGTGCGAAAGCCCTAGTGAACGCTTGAAACGTGACCGGGATGGACGCGTTCCAAGGGTGGAATTATTCATTGAGTATTCAGCATGACTCATCCTGGGATTCCATAGATCATGATGAGTAGCGGAGGAGATATCATTCGGTGCAACATTGTTTCGAGGCACTTCATCCTCCACTGGTGGCGAAGATGTGCGCAGGGTTGATGTGTAACGTTTATCTGGGTGAATTGTAGAAGTAGGATCGCTGTCATGTGCCGCGGATGTCTCTGTTTCCCAATGCGGGGGCACGGCCGGTGACATTAATGGTGATCTTGACAAGGCTGAAGATGATGGCGAATTCATGTGCGCGCCAACTCTCCGCCTGCGGATCGGCACTATCCTGCTGGTCTCAGAGTCTGAAAGATGACTCTCTCCCGGTTGGCTGGTGGAGGACATGGAGGACGGACGCGACTGCGTAGAGTCACGAGTTACTCGTCGGCTGGACAAAATGAGGGGCCGCGGCCCACCCCCGAATACATTCGGCGAAACTGGTGGAGATTGGGGCCGTTCCTGGAGCCCACTCCCTCTCACGCGCCAGTTGGAGTCAGGGGGATTCGTTTTGGACGATCTTGTCGAAGTTTCTGAGTCGTAACCGGCGAGAAGTGCTCCAGGGCTTAATATTCTAGCATCAGTTGGGCTGCGGCTTAACGCCGAGGGGTTGCTGGTGGGCGAAGATATCGCACTATCTTGGGATGAATTCGAAGAATACGACGTCCTCCAAAGAGAAAACTGGCCAAAAGATTTCGTTCCTTCTGAAGATGACTCAGCAAATTTAAACCTTTTGGCACTATCATGGTGGGATCCCTTCCAGTAGTTCAAGGCTGCCGCAGCAAGATTAGATCGAGCTTTCGAGAGGGAGGCAACCGCATCGCTTGAGTCTAAGAATTGGCTCAAGGTTACTTTGGGTTTGGTGTCTCCCTTCAAGTCCTTGGTCTGGGTGGATGTAACAGCAACGTAACCTGGGAACCAAGGACTTTTAAGGAGTCGTCCGTGCACGCGATTCAGAGTAGATGGGATGGATAAAAATGGCGGGTCATCACTGCGTGTCCCGGATGCACGACCTTCTCTCTGCTGCTTGCGTGTTAGCCACACGACACCTTGCATTATGGATTCCAGTCCCACAACATGAACAGGATAGTTTTGCAGTATCTGGATGCCTTCAATAAATCCTTCGCCCATAATTCCCTCGGGTCGAGGAGCCTCAATTGGGGCTTCTTCGGCCCACAGTCCTCCTTTGTAGCGATTACCGGCAATAATCAGCCTGTTTCGTATTCTCAACACCATTGATGTGCAGATATCGATTAATAGTGTGATGCGCGGAGCATTCGAAAGGTTGGAGGGCGGCTGAGAGAATAGGAGATCCCACAATAGGATTACGTGCTCAAAAGGCAAGGTTCGGGAAAAGAGTGATGAAATCCATCCCAGGGCCCAGTAGGGCAGCGCAGGATCGAGAGATTTTGCATGCTACAAAGACAAGGTCAGATGAGGGACTAGGATTTACGTGATCAGGGCGTACAAGCTCTTCCCACAGCCCATTATCTGCCCAACAGAGTCTTTCGCTTAACCGTCCCAACACCCCTTGAACACCGTTTGTGTCATTGAGGTCACCCACCAAACCAATAAAACTGCCGAGATCGCCCACCATCTCCCCGAATGCCCAGAAGACGTCCGATTCGGCTTGGAGAGCATTGTCATAGTCAACTTCATGCAGTGCAAGCACGAAGTACAGCGGGGCGAGGACAAAGGACATTGCCTGGTTGTATCCCCGATCTGGATAAAGAAGGGCGTGGAAGTAGAGGATGCGGAGGAGGGAATCCCGATATGAGTTCTGCGGCTCATCGGCATTCTCGATGGCGGGGGGCACAGACGATACAAGAGGAGAGTCAGGAAGGGACAGGGTAATCTCGGGCTGGACGGAGTTGCGTTGCGGGCCAGACTTTACTTTCCGTATCGAACGAACCCTACACTGGATCGCTGCCCAATGGGGTTGAGAGATTTCTTGGCGACCCGGGGGCGAACTCCACGATGATGATGAGGGACCTGAATATGTCGGGAAGAAAGCTTGCAAATCCATGGCAGCTACATCCTTCTCTATGCCCTCAAGCAGTCTGTCACCAAGTGACAGCGGATACGTCGGCTATATGGGGGTTAGAGAGAAATGCAAGCCAATGAATCGATATCTCACCGCTCCCTGGACTTCAAGATCGCCTATAAAGCGACGGGCAATTCCCTATGAAGGAGGGGGATTGGCGGGGCGCCAAGGAAATAAGCAGGCCATCTCACCAGATATTTGAGTTGGGATTGTTCGACAGAACTGGTCCATTTAGACTTCTCCGGAGGAAGGGAACCAAGTAATAAACGCCACACCCGAGGTCGCAAAAATGGGGGATGGTCAGGGATTCGGCCAGCAGAGCAAAGGCGCCTAAATTCATCTATATTTACGGTATGAGGCGAGGTACTGGGGTCCAAGAAACTCTCTATCTTGTTAAGCCTGGTGGAGAGAAATTAGCCATTAAGTGAGGGACTGGTGCCGCAAAAAGAGGGGCACCTGAGGGCCTCTTCACTGGCTTCTCCCATGAGAACGATGCAAGCATGCGATAATTTGTTGTTGAGGCAGTGTTTTGGGCTCTCCCGTCACGTGGCACTGAACGCTACGCGGCGAGGTTTCAGACTTGGAGCCAGAAATATGTCGCAGGACGCATCTGCAGCAGCATGTTGCATTCAACCAGACCACTTTTATCCGAATGGGTACACTATGGGGAAACGGCATGAACCCGGGGCGTTGCTCGACCCATCGCAGGACCCATTTGCCACACGCGGTATACCTGTATTTCGACCATCCATGGAGGAGTTCCAGGATTTCGAGGCTTACATGGAGATGGTGCAAGTTTGGGGAGCTAGGAGCGGAATCGTTAAAATCATCCCTCCTCGCGAGTGGTATTACCATGCGAATCTTGACATGGTCAGTCACTGATGACACTCCAGGGCGCAGTCTTTACCGTCAACGGTTCCTTTGTTGCCTTCTATTAAAGTGAAGAATCCCATTGAGCAACGCATGGAGGGTGGGGGTGGGCTCTTCAGGCAATGCAACGTGGAAAAGCGCAAGACATTTACGATCATGGAATTCGCTCAGATGTGTTGGAGGGAGGATCTCAGGTCGCCGAGCCCTTCTCAAACTGCACGTAGTGCACGTTCCAGCTACCGTTGCAACGGGACGTCCGGGGAGAGTGACTCTGAGCACAACGCGTCCAGTGTCATCCCATTCGACTGGGCTACCGTGGCGAACAGTCACAACTTGAGTTCAGAGGAACTAAATTTCTATTCTACATTCGATCCTCATTCAGCCTGGCTTCCTCCTGATACTCAGACATCGGACTATACTCCTGAGGCTTGCCGAAATCTTGAGCGTATTTATTGGCGAACGTGTGGAATATCTGCCCCGGCGTGGTATGGTGCAGATATGCAAGGATCACTGTTTACGGATGCTACCACAACGTTCAATGTTGCCCGTCTGCCGTCACTTCTTAGCCGTCTCAGCATGAGACGAGCCTTGCCAGGAGTGAATACTCCCTACTTGTATTTTGGCATGTGGCGTGCCACATTCGCCTGGCACGTAGAAGACATGGATCTTTACTCGATCAATTACATCCACTGGGGGGCACCAAAACAGTGGTACGCTGTCCCGAACGAACGGAGCAAAATGTTCGAGGCCATCATGCGAGGTAATCACTTACATTTCACCGTGATGTCCACTGATGCATGGTGTAGGGTACTTCCCATCTGACACTTCGGCATGTCCAGAGTTTCTGCGACACAAATCGTACCTTGCATCGCCGACATTATTAGCGCAAGCGTCATGCCGACCAAATCCACTGGTTCAACATCAGGGTGAATTTGTGATTACATTTCCCAGGGGATATCATGCTGGTTATAATATGGGATTTAACTGTGCCGAATCAGTTAACTTCGCCCTGAAGAATTGGGTCGATATTGGCAGAAAAGCCAAGTTTTGCACATGTGTACCCGATAGGTTTGTTTAGTCTTCGTTCGTGTGGCCACATGCATCTCGGGTCTTACCACTCAAGCAGCGTTCGCATAGATGTGGATGCACTGCTCGCGGAATCCAGAGAATCTCAGGAACAGGAGGAAAGGAAACGTCGGCATTTGAAACGCAAAATCCCTCCCGATGAAGTCTTGGTCCCTTCGCACCTTGCTAAGCACTCTGCACGTCATGATTCTTCGCCAGCAACGCTTCCTGCCCATTCGACGGACAAGTTGCTCGTGTGCTTACCGAAGAGGATCTCGCATCAACCACAATCGTCTGGTTACTTTTGTTGTCTATGTCCCTCATCCACAACTCACAGCTCTGGCCCTCTTCTGCGTTGTGCGTCCGCGCCACCGACGCATCTGCGAGGTCAGGCTTCGACGGCGACCAAATCCCAATCCCAACCGTTACCCCAAGGGCTGCTCCCAGTTGTCGGGCTAAGAGCTCATGAAACATGTGCGTTGGTGCTGCCAGAGACCTGGATTGATGTAGTGGACGGTGAGAACGTTGTGTGCGGCCTCGACTGCATCGGGAAAGACCGTTGGAGTTTGGTGAAACGATTCGTTGGCACTGTCACAGCATTTGCTAAACATGCTTGTCCCAGTAGAAATGCTCGGTGTGCATCTCTCCGGCTCAAAAACAACACGGGGCCAAGATACAATGCACCCGCGGGAAATGCATCAAGGCGTTTCATGTCACTTGTGCATTGCAGAAAAGTGATATAGCATTCAATACAGAGCTGACCCGATCAGACGTGGTTCTGGTTGACCCGGCATCAACACACTCCGATCAAGATCTCTCATCCACTTCACCAATACGATCAGTGAAAAAACTTTCCTATGAGCTTCTCTGCTCTCAGCATAACCCGGTATGTACTTGTCTTGTCTTCCCACAATGCAGCCCCCAACGATTTGTTCCAGATTGTTCAGCAGCGTCGGAGGACTCAACGGCTTGACAGGATGCAGGCGGATTTGCTTGCCTTGCCACCAGATTCTCGGATTAGAGTTCGAGTTTCTAGTGGAGTATTTGAGGTGACTCTTGTTCAAGTGAATGTGCCAGAGCACAGCATTTTGGTTCAGTGGGGTGATGGGTGAGTGCACTGGGATTCCCAAATTTTTCTCTGCTCACTTAGATGACGTACAGGAAACTACGTGATCTTAAGTGGGGCTGCATAGTAAAGGCATCGCCAAAGAATGTGCTTGGCACCTGTCTCCCTTCCTCGGGTGTAACAGGGCCTGACGACTTAGAACTGAAATCCGTTGGACAGAATCTCAGCTTCACCCCGGGGCAGTCAACAACTACAACTTTGCCTCCTAGCTTGTCCGACCCTGATCATATTGGCGGGCTCTTGGGTACCGTCCAGAGTGCCACCAGTCCTCAGCTACTTAACATCGCTCCGAATGAATCATCAACAATTGAACGCCAATTGAAGTGCATTTGCATGACGCCACCTCTTTCATCCGACAACGCATATGCTACACAAGGCCCGTTGCCGTACTCGACCCTATCTACGACCTTTGACCCGGTATAACTGACACACAGTGATTTGGTTGTATGCATGCTGCCTCTGACTGCCGCAGCTCCTTTGTTAGATACTCTCTGTAAATAATATGGGAGTTTCTGTGGTTTCCACTGCATCTGAAGCACCAGCGTTTCCAGCTTTCCACATCTGTTCCCGCTATTATTGGTTCAACTAGTTGAACTGCCTTCGGCTGGTTGAGGACATTTGTTGTATTCCAAATATAGCAACACGGTTCAGTGGCCCCCAGATGTAATATAGAAATGAGAGAACTGTAACTATAGAACATATGGTGCTAAAGCACCCATATTTATACTATGTGATGACATTCCGAAGCTTTCTATGCACAACACTCATGTGCTTAGTCATGTCCTCTACACCATCTTTCACATATGTCTTGGTGACTTGCATTTCCAACAACATTGAATGTGGTTCCCTGTTCTCAACAACATCTCAACTGTAATTTAGGACATTCCAGACATAGGATAGCATAATAATTTCTAGTTCCTCCTCTCAGGTTGGAGGGAACTGTAAGGTTGTGTTCATGGGTAGTTTCTACCCAGAGTGTGTAGTTCAATCATGTGTAGGGCCTAGTTCCCAGCCCATTGAGATATGCGCTGTATGGTTGTTATGTTATAATCACGGCATTTCAGCCAGACACACTGAGTACAATATCACAGTATCATTAGATATCGCACTCAGCTCTACATGCCACACTTATATACATTTCTGTGTGGCACAAAAGAACAAAGGCTAAACTGTTAGAACAAGGAAATTTCCCATAAAAGGGAACAATAACCGTGACACATGGGCATCAGAATGCCACTTCAACATGTTATAGAAATGGGAATTACCCATTTTAGACTCTTATGGGCTCTGTGCACAGCCCATATTACATAATTTGTATAATAATAGAGTTTATCCAATCAATTACAACCAAAAAATTGCCACTTGTTAAACATCTATAAAATCATATGGACTGTGATATCCATACAATCCTGACCTCAGCTCCAGGCTCCCAGAACTCTGAAACCAACTCTGGAGCCCCACACCACCCTCTTCCTTGCCGACTCCCAAGAGGTTATCCCACCTCCAGCTCCAATATCACTTTCAGTCCAACTCCGGACCATTCCGGATCCGACCCCTAACGGAATAACCACTTGCTCTAATGCTAATGCTAAAGCTCAGTCTCAAGCTAATGCATGAGAACTATAATATTACCTAATGCTAATGCTATAAGGTAATATACAATGAGTTACAATGTATAAGAAATAAGAGTAAAAGAATGTTGTAACTAACCTCAGTCTCAAGCTAATGTGCGAGAACTGAGGGAAAAAAGGGAAACTAATTCAACCGAATGAATATAGTTTGTGGCCTTCACAGATAAGTCCGAAGTGACCAAAATAAGTAAGAAGAAAAGGTGTTGTGACCAAGTAGTCACGCTACCATGGGAATGTGGCTGTATGACAAACTCATCCAGCCTCCCATAGCACACAGTTCCTCCAACAACCCCAACCATGACACCTTCCAGATGAGTATGCAACATCCCTGCTCCTGTTAGATGCTGTGGGTTCAGACAATTCCAGAATGGAATCAGAGACTTATCATGGAGGGACCTTGGCCTCAGCGACTCAAGTGGAGTGCTGTGCCATTGCTGGTTGTCCTGTTGGTCCTTAATTTTGGATATGGCAAGGGTAAAGTCTCTAGGGGGGAAATCAAGTTGATTTCAGACTGAGGTTACAAGTTACTAAGTACATTGTATATATAGGAGGGGTCCAGTGAAGGGGGAGAACAGAAAATCCTATAAAGGCTGTTATTTCTTCTGATACTTATATGTTAGTATTGGTACTTTAACTCAACCACTGTAGCGTTTTGGTTGCTTTGTGTATTGATATTTGTATGTGTGACTAATTGTTTGTGTGTGTATGTAACTCTCAGGGTTCAATTCACTTGTCTACCTGATTGTTCCACATGAAAATCGTGCTATAGACCTCTATTTTTAGTTGTTTCACCTCTGTCTTGTCACTTTTAACTCGGAGTGACTCCAACTGACTTGACTCAACATCACTATTTCTTAACTTCTTCTTAACTTTCTACTGAGGGTTGATCACTTTTACTCAGATGTGATCTGAACTGCACACTAATCAGGTTTGACTGAGGTCATAGCAGGAGATGGCCCAGGAGGCCCAGAATGTATTGGCAGCAAGCACAGCAAGACACGCATGATCCATATCAATCTGCTACAAGTACAAGGGAATTCCAAGCAATAACAAGAAACCATACAATGAAAACAAATGGAAACAACAACCAAAGTCAGACGTGAGCAGATACTAATAATACACACAAAAATCGGAAACAATCACAAAAGCTCAGAAGATAGGAGATAGGAAAGGGAAGAAAAGTTTGAACTGCAATATTATGGTGGCAGCGAAAGGGGAGGGGGTGGGAGAGACAGAACTAGTCAAGCTATAGCAGCAGATATGAGCGAGTTAAGAAGATAACAGCAGCCAGGGAAGCAGGAGAGGCAGCAGCAGCAGTTCACGAGTGTGAGTTTGATGAGTGGCAGCAAGTTGGCATTTGACTCACCACAAGAGATGTGAGAGGATTCAGCCGATAGGGAGAGGAAAGGGGGCATCATGGAAGCCCTTATAAGCATGGCCTGAATCATCGTGAGCATTCTCGTGATGAGTGAAGTTCAGTACGTACCTCCACTGGTATAATCTGCTTCGCACATCTGCACCAGAAAACCCAGCGTATGACTGAGGCATGGTTCCTGGGTCCATCAAATGGTCAGGTTTGCACAGCGACTCATGAAAGATAGGGTGGCAAAGGGGTGAGTGTGGTGCTGAGACAGGTGCAGCAGGGTCTGATCAAGCAAGAGAAGTTGCAGCATCAGCTGGGCTGATTCCAGTTGTTGCCCCATGATTAGTCTTGTGAAATGAGGACATTAAACAACAATAAAACTTATTTTATTAGGACGCCTTATGACCCATGAGCCAGAGCACATGGGGGAGAGGAGTAAAGAAGGAAGAGGGGTGAGACCAGAAAATGCGGTCTTTTATACCTTTCCTAAGGGCTCTGTTTTCACATGTCACTTTACTATTTACATTGCTGAGTAATCTTGTATTGAGCTCAGTAATCCTCTTATATAAGCAATCAGCATCCCATTCTGCTTCTAGAACTTCTGGAAGTTTTGGTGTGGGAATCAACCAATTGCACTGCCTAACACCCATCATGACCTTATTTACCCTTGTTTACTCACTTTATTCTAAGTCACATGTCATGGGGGTTATTTGTTAGCTTAAGAGTGTAGCTTTCTGTTGGTATAAACAACAGTAAACTACAAGGATTATTTATGAAGATATGAATTTTTCAAGATTTAATTTCAAGGTTCTCCAGATTGCTTCAGCATTAACTCATCCATTTTCTTACAATTAATTCTGGATAAATTATGCCTTGTTCCTGGACTCGAACTCTTTAGTTTCGCATTTCTACCACAAAATCAGGACGTTTGAGCCAGTCTTCTCTGAAAGCTTGTTTTAATCTTGTTAAATCCATTTCTCCCTCAATTCTTCAGATTCTAACATGAAATCTTCCCATACACAGACCTATACTTCATCAGCAAACCTGGATGTGGAGGTCTGAGAGCTCTCAGAGCTCTCAGAGCTTCAGTACTTTGAAATTGCAGGTCCCCTTCTCTGAGAGCTCTGAAAAGTAGTCAAAGCTCTGAGAGCTCATAGAGCTATGTAGCCCAATCAATATATAGACCAAATTTAGGGATATAAATGCAGTTATCTGAAATTACTTAGGGAAAATGGGGGAAATGAGTGGGAAAATGAGTGGGGAAATGGGGGGGGAAAATGAGGGGAAAATTGAGGGGGGAATGGGGGGGAATTGGGGGGGGATGAGGGAGAAAATGAGGGGGGAATTGGGAGGGGGAATGAGGGGAAAATTAAAGGGGGGAAATGGGGAAATTTGGAGGGGGGGATGAGGGGGGGGATGAGGGGGGGGATGAGGTGGGAATTGGGGGGGGGGGGGGAATGAGGGGAAAATTGAAGGGGGGAAATGAGGGGGGAAATGAGGGGGAAATGGGGGGTAATTGAGGGGGAACTGGGGGGTTTCTAAAAAGTCTGGGAAAATTAAGGAAAATTCAGAAAATGGGGGACTTTCTAAAAAAGGAGAATGTCCAAAAAATCAGGGGAAATTAGGGGGAAAATCAGAAATTTTGGGATAAGTTAGGGAGAGATATTTCAGGAAATTAGGAATAATTGGAAAAAAAAATTAAATCACTTTTTTGATAATTCAATGTGCATTGGAAAGTGCCAAAGTGGGGCAATGTAGCAATGTATGTTTCAGTGTTAGAAAACTCTCCCACCATGTTTTGGTGAGCCAAATAACCATGGCTTTTTGACCATGGGAAATTTGGTGTCAAAGGCTTGGATGATATCTGAAGAATACATCAGCTTTTTGTTTGCTTTATTGGGTGGTATTTTTAATTTACTTCATTTGGAACACTTTTTTAAAACTGATTTATACCCTACATAACATGCATGGTTACATTGCCACACTTTGGTGCATTCCAATTCACATAGAATCATCAAAATTGGTTGAGTTTTGAGCAAGAAATGAGATGAAAGATAAAGTGCAAATTTTTGAATTTCAGAGTTTTCCTCATATTTTGTAAATAGCAATAAACAAATAAGGTGCTGATTTTAGTAAACACAAAAGGTATATGAGCTCTATGAGCCCACTGAGCTCATAGAGCTCATAGAGCTTTCAGAGCAATGACAATGGCCATTTTACACACACATATATCCATATTATCTTTGCACTACTGGTGCCAAAATAACTAAGCAGATTTCATGGAGATATGAAGACCATCCATTATTTAAAAACAAAAAGCTCTATGAGCTCACTGAGCTCATAGAGCTTTTCAAGTAATGATGCTGGCCATTTAATATGCATTTCCAAAAATGTATATACATATATTATCTTTGCACTTCTGCATCCTTAGGAGAACAAAATCATTCAACCATTTAATTTTCTCCACCCAATGTGTAGAGGGTGCACAGCAGAAAGACTCAATTTGCTCACAGAGCTCTGTGAGCTCTGAGAGCTCCCTACCAAGTTTGCTGATGATGTGACTTCTGGATATTTCCGGAAGTTTTCGTTATATTGTGGCCACTGTGGGAAGGTGAGAAGTTAGCTTCCTTCTCACCTTCTTACCCACAGCAGGCAAGTTGTATATTACTTGCCTTTCACTTATGCACCTTTATTAGTCATACTTCCTCCTACCTTGCCCTAC